ATGAACAAAGATACGCGATGGCGTTCGTTACGAGAGATCCATGGGATGAGTCGGAATTTTTTGCGATCAAGCCCTTGATGCAGAGAATATCAGACACAGAGGAATGAACCCGCAGGGCACCTGCACGCAACCACGTGACAAAAGTCACGCAGACGAAAGTTGGGGGCCGGAAAGATATGGTCGTCGCGCGATCGAAAATGACGTGATTTCGACCGACGCACCATTTCGTCATGTATGGATTATACATCGGTTACGCATAAAAGCCCCGATCACTACAAAGAAGCATACTTTTCGAATGAATATTATCGCGAATATTTCTACATCCGTCAATAATTCGAAGCTTTCCTGGTAATCCGCGAGTAGACGCGTTTAAAATTATTATTACATTTATTCTCGGTGAAAAAGTTTTTGTGATGAATTTCCTGTACCTGACATTTTTTCTTTTTTTTTATTTTTTTATTTTATCAATGTGGACTTTGATCGCGCGGACTGTAATGCGTTCGGCGAGTCACGGTTATCACAGTTTTTTTTAGTCGAACGTTATCTGTTTCTAGATGTATGTACGCGCGCGTCCTTCTTATACGGACGGTGAAGTAAAAAAATGCATAATGACGGTAATAGAATCTGTGTGCATGACGCAACAATATTGAATTATTAACAGGATACAAGCGGAGGGCGACGACCAATAGGAACGTCGCTTCCGCGGAGGCTCGACCGGCTCGACTTCATCACGTATACGTCGAGAGAGATCCCTGTGGCCAGCCGTTCTTTCAAGGAGAACCAAGTTGGGAAAGTTGCACGCCCGGCTGTTAGTTGATAAAGTCAGCCGTTTATCTCGCCTTGCTGGAATATTACGTTATTGCACATAGAGATAACGAAATATTGAACATCTAAATTTAAAACACCATGAAAACGAATCTGTATACGATCGTTCTATCTTATCGTTTAATGATATGGCGAGACGTACTTCTAATTACATAAATATTTATTAATGCGTAATCATTATACGTTCGCGACTTTCTGTTAGATATTAAAACGAAGAAAACGCTATTACCTCATTTTATTAAAGAAATTCCAATTTTTTTCAAGTAAATTTGCATCTATATACATGCATTCAGTATTAATCAAAAATTATACATATATTCAACAGCATATTAGTCAAAAGATAAATAAAAAAAACATCTTTTTTAAAGTTTCTTCCTCTCGTGAAGAAAGAACCATAAAAGATGCAAATGAATTATGCAAATAAATTATAAAACTCTGCGGAATATCACGTAGATCTCTCTTACGTAACCAAGATAGACAAACATATAAGCAGTGATTGTTTTATCTTTTATCTACTTGCATTATATAGAAAATCATATACGAAAGAGCGAGATATATTAATACAAATTATATAAGCATTAAAACAAATATCACAATGCTACTTAAAGTAGATAAAATAAACTTCTAAACTTTATGCACATATTTATAACCTTTATAACCTTTATGCACATATTTGTATTAGCGAGCGAGCGTGAAAAGGAGTTAATTATTAATCTGTTTTATTTTCTTTAATAATTATATAAATATACATGTATAATTTGGCATAAAATATTTTTATAAAATTATTAATTAAATAAAAAATGCTTTTTTATAGGTATTTTACAGGTATTTTCTGATACTCGTTCATGATTGTTTGTACTCTTTCGCTCGACCTGGACCCGGCTATCTGTCTCTAGGAAGTTTCGAGCTATTTATAAAATGTCGTACGTATGCCATGCACACATATATTCGCGAGAGAAAAGAGACGGACGTTCATATTTCTCGTAGGCTCGTTCTACAATAAGTCGTATGTCATTAATCGTAAGCAAATTGACCAACTACAGTCGATTATTCCGAGAATATTCTTAAAATAATTGACTGTGATTGGTCAATTTGCTTACGACTAACGATATACGACTTATTGTAGAACGGACCGTAGCAAAAATATCAATGACAGATGATGAACTTGAAACGCGTTTTACAAATTTCGCTCCGCCTTCTTCTCTACGAAATGTTCGACACGAATGAACGTAGAGACAAAGGACCTTTTTCTCCTACCTACGTGCGTACGGAAAGTTTTCAAGCATTTGCGTCAGCGCCGTTTAACGCCTTTCATCGGATAGCCTCGCCCATGTCTGCAAGATTACAAGCGCAAGATCTTCTTATTATAGCAATATGCGTCTCTTGTATTAATAAGTAGACGCGACAAAATTAACAACCAACGTTAAAGTCACGCGATCTCGAAAATTTTACGAAATCTGCGACTATAAATTGACTATAAATGATAAGCAACTTGTCGATACGAGACAAGTTTACGTGCAATTATCGCATATAGCAATAACTGTAATTATTTTACATTATACCGTTATACGAGATTGTTCGTAATTATCGTTATAAAATAATCTGTTGAGGCAAAATATTCATCTGCAATTAATCGAGGACTAAGATTGTTATCTATTCATGCAATCCTGAGATGCGCAATTCACAGCAAAGCTCTTACCTTTGAAACGTTCTTCTTATTTGCGAAAGTTACCTTGTATTATACAGGACCGGTTTTTCAGCAATCTTGATTAACTGCCTAAGTTTGTCTCCGAGCAGGAGAGAGATTTAGCTACAAGCCGGGTTATATAGTTAACCGACATTGATGTGAAACCGGTCCCCCTAAACACGGTGCAGCTATATAGCGTGTGGCAATATTTTCGTGCTAAGGAAATATCATGGTATGCGACTTGACGTATGTGTATGCTACCGATCTGCAAAGTAAACGACTCATTCAAAGGCTATCTATCTGTCAATCGAAGATATGAGCGAGATAAACAACAATGTCCTGGCAAAATAATTTTGTAAACATTTATGAAATTATATCTGGAATTTAATCTATTTTTTATCCTGTGTAATTCCAATACAGGCGAATTTTTATTGACATATAAGCAGATTTTCTTTTTGCTACGGTGCAGTTATATCGATGCATCCTCTTGATTGAAATCAGTGTATTATCACTGAAAAGCAATGAATTGTCCCAATTATAATTATAAGACTGCAAATCAATGAAAGAATTATTGATTTACTGAAAGAATCAGTTAGTGATAGTGGCTGTTTCAATCAATGATATTTCAAAATGCATCTTGTATTATAATGTCGCATATGAAATAAATTAATAACAATATATTTTGTTAAAAAAATATCTGTGTTTAACCAAGAGTCTTGTTCATATTTTTGTAGAAATTCATAACATTTTGCGAATAAAACAATAATATATATAATTCTGAATTTTAATTGTTATACGTGTTTCATTCCAGGTGCGGAAGTTTCTTCCCAAGAGTAGCAATCCAAACTAAATAGAAAAAACTTTAAAAACTATATGAAATCTTATTGTCATAATCAACAAGACGGAGGAGCAAAATGTGAATATTTTCACTGAAAATCAGACCGAATCACTCTTATGTCACTGCTTTAATCAGAGACATTTTCACTGATTCAGTTTAAGATAGCGATGTTGGCTATCGCGTATTTTGAAGATTTATGTTACGAAAGCTCGAAAGAGTTATACATAGCTAAGAATTGGCAGCACCGAGGGATACTCAATTGGCTAAAGAACTGGCTAAAAGTTGATAAACTCAGAGACACGAGATCAAGTGTATATCTACTCAAAAGGCGTCTCGATGATGTTACACATTCTTGACCCTTTCGTCGCGTGACGACTATAGATGAATCGTGATTAAAGTATATCGCGTCAGCGACGATATCGACCCGGATCGATCGAACTGTTCGCCGCTTGCATAAGCGACCTTGGATTCTCCGGAAGAAGAAAAACATCAATAATGGACGGGCATAATATACGGGAGGTTTTATGTAAGATGTAAATCGATACGTATTCCCCCGTACAATGATACTTAATCCTTATTTCCGCGGATACGCGGAGAAGAAAACGGCGAGCTTCGGAAAAAAAATATATAAGTAGCGTAATCGCGCCTCCAACTTTTGCAGTCACTTTATCGCGAAAATCGCTTCAAACCGGCCTGCTCGCGCGCTGGAACGGAATCACGAAACGCCTGTTCTCCAGTATTGTTTACGGGTAACAATGTTGCATATATACGTTCAGTTATAATATGTGTCTTTAGGAATAAGTGTAGATTTCGCGCTCAAAAAATGTTCGGAGGTTCAACACAATATTTTTAATCAAAAGAAATTTTGCTCGAGTGACGTCGCCAGAGAAAGAAATATTCCATGAATATTTTGTGAATACATGTTTGTTTTTTAATCATAACTAAACTTAATCATTTTGAGGGGAAGGATTTGCGAGCAATCTAACGAAAACGCGTAAAATCTTGAATATCTATCTATTATGGGTACGAACGGACCCGATAGTCTCTCGTGCGATCTACCGAGGATAAATTTAGTTTATAACTGGATTTAATAATTTGATCAGCTGTTTATGAGATGGGATTTTAATAACAAAGATTGGAAATTATTTCGTTAGTTATCTCTTCTTAAAAAAATTCATTATATACGGGTGACTTTGCTTATTCCGACTGTACCTGTACGTGCCTCCGAGTGAGTAAGCGTTAAAAATTTGATTTATCGGCACAAAAATTATTCTTGTGCAACACGCTAATCAACTCGTGCGCGTTATGCCGCACGTAACGCTATTCGCGGCGGCATCGTTTGAAGGTCATCGTCACTCGCGTGATGTGTCGTCGTGTGGGGGCTCGTCCGGGGGCTGGACCAATCGCGTCGCAGAAAGGCAAGACGGCGCCCGTACACACACACACATACATATATGCATACGGCACGTCGCTTATTTTACTATCATTTCTTGGAAGATTACATCAGCTACGTACCACAGTATGTAACGTTAAAATCTAAATTTAGTTGGATTATAAAAAGTTGCAGATGAGAAGGAGGACTCACGTACAGATTTTGGCATTCGCTCTGCGAGATTTCTTGTTCACGTGATTAATAAATTCGGTTACGAGAAAAAAAAAATGAGCGGATGACATGTCATCTCGCACGCGGACTTCTTCGTGCGATGTCTCAGCTTTCACAGAATAAAAACAAAAGTATCAGGCGATAGCAAAGATCTTAAGATATTATTGTATTCGATTTCAAGATTAAGCGAAATTTATTTCACGCGGAGCAGCGTAAGATGATCATATCCTTCTATGTATCAAGTGAAAGAAATTACAACAAAGTTTTTAAAAAAGAATAAAAAATTAGGATATGGAATAGAGGTAAATATTGAGATAAATAGTGACCCTGAACTTTTAGTTACGGTCCACAAAAACAACATTTGAAAAGGATATTTAAAAAAGGAGAATACGCCTTCGAAAATCAATCCGATTTTAAATTCTTTACATTGTAATCAAAGAAAAAATCGAAATAATTTTATTATCTACAGCTTATTATCATTTAAACTATGTATTAGCTGCTCTTATGCGGAAGTATTATTTTTTTCTTTTTAAAATATATAATCTCAATTTGCATGTGTAAATATAGAGATTTCGAAACAAGTAAGATGTATTGTAATATGACAATCACATCTTTTCAAGCATTATTCAAAGCAATAAAATATCTTTTATGACTATTTTGATGGTGAAGTAATTCACACAGTCAACATAAATCTACGGTCTAAAGAATCTCTACCCAGGCAATTGTGAGATGCGCAAGAATCGATTCTACATTCGGAATTGAAATGAAAAGGGAGGTCGTAATGGTGCTTCTAGCTTGTTGACCCCCGTTGCTTTCTATCAAGAGACGTCAGCGCTTCGACGCCGGAACCATAAATTTTTATTATCAGATAAAATCAACGATAAATTGCGTCGTCAAGGATGTCTAGTTAGTACAATATGCTGGTTAATATAAACCATCACTGTTCTCTTCTGTGGTTGATCCCATAAATTGAAAAGCCGCGCACTTAGCAAGCCTTCGCTATCGTTAATTCAATTAGTACTACACTGTCTTAAACTGAATCAATGAAAATGTCACTGATTTAAAGTAGCATCATAAGATTTCACCGAAGTGAGTATTTTATTGATCTTCAGTGAAAACACTTACACTTTGTTCCTCCGTCTTATGTCTCACTGATGATGGCAATAAGATTTCACCGAAAAATCAATAATAATGTACATGTTTACAAGATATAGCTTTTAAAGCTTTTTTATGCTTTATAAATATTTTCCTTCTACTTCTTGTAGGAATGTTTACGAATGCGATAAGACAAAACGTAGAATAATATGGAAAATCTCTAATAAATTTTCATTTTGAACTTTCAACTATCTGAATCTAATAACAAAGAATATATATCTTGAAAAAGTAAATTAGATATATACCTTGAAGCTAGTAAAGACAACACACGAATGCCATTAGTGTATTTTTCAAACGTTTGCAAAGAGATGTCATTAATTATCAATTAACAAATTACTTATCAAGACTTGTGGTATCTCTTACATATTTTAATTAATGTTTCCTCCATGTTAATTCTTGTTCTTTTATCCTTTTTAATTCTTGTTGTGAGGAGGAGGGGAAGAATGGGACAAGGAGTTAGTTCGAAAAACTAATATTATAAATTCATCAATATCGATAAGCGCTTTGATGAAATCTTGATTCTCGTGGAAACTTAAATCTAATTGCGTGTTTAGAATGAATCGATATTAGCATCCGTCTCGATAATAATACATTCGCCTTTTTCATTACGCCTACAAGATACAAATATCTTAGACACGTAATGTTTGATAAAAGTAATCTCGAGATAATTACGTTGATCTTTAATATTGAAATCGCGTACTTTGTACTTCGACACCGGAGATAATCTTTGATCCATCACGTCATACAATCTTCAAATATTTGTAATACTTCCGAATATTTCGCGATCGATAAGTATCATATCTCTGTCTTCCAGACAATTCTGCACTAAATGAAAACCGCTTTTATACAATTTGTAAGCTATAAAATTTTCAAAACTAGATTATATATGAATTTATATATATTAAAATAGAACAAGGTCTATTAATTAATTATTCTGTTATTTTAGTTATCATTAATTATGTACGATTTATTTATTTCTCTCAGCAATACTAAAATCTGAACGAAACGTAAGAATACTTTGTATCACTTTTATTAATTTGAATATTTTTTAAATTTTCAGAATTTAAAGCTATATTAAATGATTTCCAAAAATGCACAGTTTTATATTTTATTATCCAGAAAGAATTGAATAAGACTTTTCCAAAAGTCTATTCGTTAATACATAAGCGTAATAAATTTTATAGTTAATTATTATTATTTGGTAACTATTATTTGATAATTATTTGTCATAGCTAATTGCATAAATTAGATAACGATAAAGAAAACAGTGCCCTTTTTATAATATACAGTTTTTTCATATATAATTTACAAGTTTTCAAAAACAATTACGTATTTTTCACACAAATTATTAATCATTCTTTTATGTATGTGTATTACCATAAAATAATATCCCTGTCTGTATAAAATATGACATCGACTGAAGTCTCTCATATATCGTCTATATATCGTTACCAAAGTCCCTTCGAAGGCTTTTGAAGTATCGAAACGAATCCAAGACCGATACAGAATGTGCAGTTTCTCGATGACGACGACAACCGATGACAGTAGGATAATCGTGAACGCGAGATCCCGCCGTGAGGATTACTTCCCCATTCGTTGGATAGACCACTCCTGCTGGCACAGCGGGCAACGATTGTTCTGTTTGACCCAGAGCGACATGCAGCAGTAGTGAAACGAGTGGTTGCACTCGCCCCAGACGACCACGCAGTCCTGTCGGCCGTAAACCTCCTTCTTGCTCTCCGCCTGGCATCGCAGACAGGCGTCTGAAAATCGAAGAATAGATAGTGACGATTAGCGTTCGCGTATAGAATAGGAAAGTTCAATGTGATCTCTCGGTGTAAAAGTTTTTTTCTGTCGGTAAAAAAAAAAGGATCAGAAGTTCGTTTCTCTTTCTTTTATCTTTCACTTTATATGTCCATATTCGATATTTATAACTCTAAGAAATTTAAATATATATTAGGTTATATATATATTTGAAAAGCTTTTTTATTTATTTACATTTCTTTTTATTTTGAAATGAAAGTTGCTTCTTGTATCTTATTTTTCTTTATATTTTTGTCTCATATATAAATACCGCAGGAAAAATACCAGAAAACTTTCCAAGAGCAGCAAGATATATAGAAGTCTATAGATTGCTATAGTTTGGCCATCAAATTCGCAAATACTGTGCGCAATAAATATTCATAATGAGTATAATTGTTAGAATTTAAAGTTTTTAATAACGTAATAAGCGGGAAAAGATCGGAAAAAGTTAAAATTACAATAAAGTAATAAAATTGTGGAAGCATAACCGTCCGAGCAACGAATAATATTGCATAATTCTCGAAATTGATCCTTAAACTTCATTTGACATTTAAGAATGATATATACAATAAAAATATAATAAAAATATATAGGACGATTAATGACGCGCGCACGAGGGTATCTGATATTCGCAATACGTGATTAATAATTAACGGGAGAAAAAATTTTAACATAAAAAATCATAAAATGTGCCTGTTAGAATTAGGTCGCACGTGTGAGTGATATATCGCGATCTCGCGTGTCGAGGCAATAACTGAGGATTAAAAAGAAAAGAGAAAGTATGTGCTAGCTGTTAAAAAATTTTCGCAGATTCTCTCTGTATGCCTTACATAGAGATAAGATTCGTGAGATAAATTCTCCAAAAGAGAGAGAGAGAGAGCGGACAATCCGCGGATTAACGCGTTTAAAACGGCTTATGGTCGGTAAACACGATAAATGGGACCGAAATTGCGACGATAACGTTAAGTCTATTTAATTGTGTTATCACGTACGTCACGTACGCTCAAACTTGCCTTATCCTCGCGACTGAGAAAGAGAGAATTGCAATCATAAAAAAATTTCTTTTTCAAAACTCATTTATTCGTCTCTGCAAAAGTCATAAAAGATAAAAATGCAGATTCACGATATCATAAATATTTTAGATTGACTAAATAATGCAGCTGTGACGCGTGCAATCCAATATACATAATTTAACCCGATTTAAGCCATGTATATTTTTATTCTCCTCTCTCTCCCTCTCGAAAAGAGTATCATCTCTTTTTTTTTTTTACACGAAAGCATATTCTGTCACGAATATAGATGGAGAGATGTTTGAAATGTCAGAAGAAAACAAGACTATCTTATTACTCGCATTCGCACGTGTATAATATTTTGCACGCGCGTCTCTTTTAAGAAATTCCTTTCTTTCCATCTTGAAAATGTGTAAAAGCCATCCTACACGAAACAAAATAAAAGAACAAGTACGCAAGTGTTTTGCAAACGCATTCGGATTTGCGGCCGTCGGATAATTACGTGCCGATCCCCGTGATTTAACTTTATTACGTCTACGTGTTTCGCCTGTCGGTGTCACGTTCATCCCTTATCAAAATCATTTCCGTGAGATGTAAACGTGCTCGCTCAGCAAAAGCGCAGCATAATCGCGCACAGGCCAGACATTCCGTGACGAACGGAAGAATACTGGAGAAAACACACATGGGGGAAGAGATTCCTCTCATGGAAATCTTTAGAATTAAAGGGACGTGCAAGTCGCGTAAGACGGGCGTCGAGGAGACGATTACACGTGTACAAGGCGATTTTTAATCTTTTCGTACGGTAGCTAAACGTACAAAAATATATTATACGCTTCGTGATCACGAAAAATTTATTTCTAGCTCCCTATCTGTGTTGATTATTCGACGATAAATATGTATAAACGCGTACGGATAAACAGACGCAATGTGAAACGTGAAACGCCGATAAGTTGTGGACGGAAATAGCAGAGAACACTGCGTTGCTTTGTTTATCTCTCATTATAATATATATATAATGCTAAATAAACATTAGATAATTCTATATAAAATAAATATTATTGTAGATAATTCTGTAATCGACTCATCATTTTTTTCGAATCCATCAAAAAATCAAAAACATGAAAAGAATTACTTTTTGAAATTAATATTTCGATTATACTTTTATAGTTGTGATAAAATTATTAATTAAAAATTAAATCATTATATTGTATCATTAAATTTATAACAGATTCGAGATAGAACGAATCTCGACAATTTGTTCGGCCAATTTTCCTTTCTTGTGCGAATGTAAAATATCATTTTATGTTGGCAGAATGAATTATTCCAGCAATATTGTCATTGTATTTAGTGAAATTATAAAAAACAAATTTCGTGCTTATAATATCACGAAATTTTATTTTGGTATATTTATAAAACCGTGACATTTTTTTTATTAACTCATTATCAGTTATTAAAATTGTACTGTAATATTAATATTATTAAAATAGTTTCTTGTACATAAAACAGATTCGAATTTAACGAACATATTATTCCACACGATATTAAAATCAATTGTGCGTGTATCCAATTTTTCTATATATATTTTATCTAAATTATCTATTTCAAAATACAAATTAAAGAATCGAAAAATTTAAAGATAGATATTAAAACTCGCGCGCACAAGAAGAGCGTTATCACATAAACAAAAATAGAGCCGAATTAATATATATATTTTCAAAGAGATATAATTATATATTATATATGTAAACTGCAAATATATTTAGTTTTTTTCTCGCTCTACCGCTCGCATGGCGAAAAATATAAACCGTGTCTCTCCTGCAATACTTGCCGCCAAAGCGGATATTAAATATCGCTTGACGCTGCTCACGCCACTGTATAAGTGTCCAGTAGAATTCCATAGGCTTATCAACGAATCCAACTGCATAATTATCACGCATAATTATTAACCATCTGATATACGTCGCATGCGTCCAGTGTATAAAGGAACTCTCATCGCTCTTTGAACACCTTGCATTAATGATAAACGAAACAGATCATAGGCTGTCTCCTTCTCTCTTCCAGATTTCTAACATTCGTCAATTTTTAACGCATGCGGATATGTACGCAGTTCAACAATGTCTGCTATATCAATCTTAATATGAAAATTATTTTTTTTTACATTATTCTATCATTGTTTTCTGTGTACCAAAACCAGCGCCGTTCTTTTTATCTCTACGAATTATTCGATTATAAAAATATTCAGTATCTTACATCGAAAAATTACCTTTTTTTTTTAAATAATAAGTGACAAGAGAAGATGAAAAAAAGGAATTCCCTTGAAGAAAGGAAAAAACCACGACCTGCCTCTAACTTGGCGCTTGCATCCGTGTCGAGCATATCCCGGCAGCGCACTTACATCGATACGACTCAATCAAAGCATCGATTGACGAGGAAGAAATTTCCGTCGTTATCTAGCCGTCTGTCGACGCATCGTCGAGAATTAATCGACGATGCGTCGACAGAACGTTCCGCTCGAGGGGAGGGGAGTGCAAGAGAGAAGGACGATGGGTGTCAGTTTCTCGTTGACCCCCTCCGGGGGATCGGGGCAAGCATGCCTTGGACGTGCCCCCGGACCCAGCCGAGCCATTGGGCCAATTAAGTGCGACAACGAAGATGCCGTCATCGCGACGAGGACGATCACCGCGATAAGCGTCGCGATCATTCGACTTGATTCCAGAAGAATTTTGTCGCGTGTTAGATTTTTAGATTAAAATTTCTCTTACGCGGACGCGTATTCTGAGATTTTAGATAGAGTAAACTGCACGAGAGGAAGGTGTTGAAATAGAAGATTATAATCTTGACAAACGATTTGTCGATGGAGAAAATTCCACGAGGGCAGTTGTTATTTTTTGCAGCTTTTCAAATTGTATCAAACTATTAAGAGAGATCCCCTTTAAAATGATTTATCTGAATATTTCGACCTTGTTCTATCTAATTTCAATTTGCAATATAAACACAGTATTTTCTAATTTTTTAAATCACCGGGATTCCATCGACAAACCTACAGATTTGTTCAAAGAGGGATTCTTTCTAATCCAACATAGAAAATTTTCAAAATTTTCCCAGGTACAGCATAGATTTCGATTAAAATGTTCACATTATAATAGATGTATCGTATTGATGTCAAGGAGAAATCCCTTTTCGAATTTAGAATTTTCGAAACAAAAACTGATGCAAAAATTCGCATTTTATTTGACACTTCTGATCTGCATCTTTATAAATTTCTCAACTCGAATCCATGATTTAAAAAAAAAAAAAAACTGACTAGATTCTAGAAATATTTTTTAGATATTATAATATTTATTTTAAAGCTTGGCATTAGAATTTCGAAAATATATTGAGTATAATATAATTCCATATACTTTATATCTTTCCAATTAAATTTTAAAATTAAAGAAATAGCGAGCCGACTCCAAAAAGGATACACATTCTTGAGATCTCGTACAATCACGTTACTTTTGATGATTACATTGTAGTTAAGAGATCATATATAGTTTTTCGTCTTGTTACATCGAATAATTTATATACCCTAGTACGGAAAATTTTCCGTGCTTATCAATATTATTAAATCTTACATTGTGTTGCTGTCACTTCGTAAGTAGCGTGTTGCGTCATGATGAATAATCTACTTCAATCGCGTTACACACATGACGTAACGCGTGCTAATATATTTTCATTAAATCAGGTTCCATACGGCGTATTTCGTTTTATCAACAATTCTTTTGGCCCTATATTCGTGTGCGAGGCCTCTTAACTCTTATATAATTTTATCAAACAATTCTAAACTCTTAAGATCTTCTTAAACTCTTAAGATGCGAAATTACTGATAATGTCACATAAGATACTTTATCATATATACACTCTTTTTGCCTCTATCTTTCTCAGTAAAATATCATGTAAGCTAGTATTAC